CACGGGAATCGAAAATACGTATCGTATCTTAAATGCCAACTGTCCTCATTTTGCCATTTTTGTGGTACCCTTTGATAACCGTTTCCGGTTGTCAAAGGGAAGTACATGAAATGTCAAAACCAATGTTTGGCCAAATGTTTTAGTGAATTATTCGCGTGAATTCTAATGAAATGGACAAAAATATTGACAGTGAGAACAATTAAATATTGATAAAAATGCGTCGCTGCAACATTAGGGGGCGCGGCAGTAGAAAAAGCAGAAATCAACTGAATGTTACATTACACCGGCATGTGTTATTTTTCTGCCTATAAATCATACAATAGCCCAAATATCTCATGTAATTAGACTCATTTAAGTAGTTTATTCATATGTCTTGCCGAATTTTGCTTTGGTTACTTTAGATTGGCTGTTTGTTAGTATATTTTGATGATTGTTGATAACGATTATTTTGAGATAGTGTTGTTCTTGTAAGCAGACATATTATCGATATTCTGTTATTAAAACAATCCATTACGAGGTTTTTATTAATTAGTTGTTATTATTTTTAAAGTTTACCTACAAATGAAAAATAAAGAAAGAATGGCTGGAAATTATAGGACTGTCGAACATAAACATTGTATCAAATACCATCTTCGTTTGTTTGCTCCATTTTGAAGAGTCAAATTGTAATAGAACTTTGAATGTAACTAGGTTACATGGTAATGTAATTCCATCGTTACATTTATTGGTAAATAACTTTATATGCAATTTTGATTAAAATGGCTCATTGCTTGCCTAGTACTAATCATACTTTGATTACAGTAAACTATACAAATTTGCCAACGTAAGAAACAGTTTCAACATTCAGGCCATATATTTGAATGTCGATATTGACTTATCTTTGATTATGATACAACACTAAATGCGCCATATGTGTGGTACAATTGGTTTAGATAAGTACGTTTATTCCGTAGATAGGGCAGCTCCTTTCTTTTTTTTTTCCATCCTATAAGTGTTGAATCTAGGTAAGTATCATCGCATCTTACTTTCACCACTGTACACAATTCTACGAGAGCCATTATGAAGACCTACAGTTTTGAGTTCTTGCGACTTTCATAGTTAGGTACATTGTATATAAATTATTTATAATGTTACTGTACTAGGTATACTTATACCCTTAGAATAATAACGCATAGAATGATAGTTTCATATCAATCAAACTGTCACAAGTGAGGCAAAAATCAAATTCATGTAGGCTAGTTTTAGTAGTAGGTTATTTTTCGGTTTTAGTGAATATTTATATAAAAATACAAGTTGGAACGCGTTACTTCCTTGTGGAATGTGATGTTACTATCTATTTTATATTTGTCTGACGTATTTTTACACTCATTTACCGCACATTTCGTCATTTTTAGCTAAAATTTTTGAGCTGTTCGCGGTGCAAGTTGACCTTGAGCACTGACGGCCCACCCGCTCGTGTAGGCCCTTTGGAAGCGCTTCAATTTGCGTTATTTAGCGTGTGCAGACTAGGTTTCTATGCGTTATTATTCTAAGCTTATACCCATATCTAGAACTGGGTCATTAAAAAATTTCATTTCGAAAAATTCATATTTTACTGCTTGGCGGCATAAATAGGCAAGGTGGCAGCACCATCGGCGGAATAGGAACTTGAAGCCATAACTCACACTAAAGAGATGGCATTGACAGCAAAAACTATAATATGTTGCTAGAAGTACGAATACTTGAGGGTATGTTATTTTTATTTGGAGTAGGCGTACAAAAACGGGATTTTTCAAAATTCAACGCCTTAGAGGTGAAAAAGGGTAAAAATTTTTGCACGAAAAATCGTATTACAAAGATGAAACTTTTCATAAATATTCTACAATAAAAATGGCAATAAAATTATATGACATTTTTTCTAAACTACCCTTGGATAGCGGTGAATTGGGATATTCAAGTTCGTATGTAAACTTTTTAACGCGTGGTGCGATTTACTTAAAACTTGGTTTTTAAGAAATAATAATAAAAAAAAAATGAAAACTTAGAGGTACGTTAGGGTATCGAAGTATTTTTACAAAACCTTTGCTATAGAAGCTAGTATTCCTTATATTTGCAACCTTGAATACTTTTCATTAACGTTTTAGTACGTAGAAAATAATGCATTTAAAAATGTTTATAAGGCCGAAGTCCAGGGCAATAGCTAATAGTAAACATATGTATATAAGAAAATTAGAACTACATTTTGACACAAATTGTCTATATATTTTTTATCTTTTTTGTTTGTCATTATTCTAATTTGGGCACGATATTATATACGTCTGTCCTGGCGTCATCAATTAATCTGAAATAACTTAAAAAAACACGTTAAAATAATTAAGTGCTTTAAATTTGTGCTTAGTACCTTGTAAAAGTGGTAAGTAATTAATTGTAAACACTTGAGATGTACGTACGCTCAGGGTGGGGCGATACAATCACAGAATGTAGAACAATTGGTTTATACACTTCTATACGATACAGGTTTATACGCTGAAATTATTTAGTTTTATGGAATAAAATTAATTGTTGTCTAATTTAAAAAAATAGATGTGTTATATTTGTAACGGTAAAAATTGACGATTTTCTAGGCCTGAGTAGTGTTGGGTCTTGGAAAAATTTCCATTTTCTTCAAAGCATATTTTTCAGAAGAATAAATGTTTTCCAATATTTTTTTCAGTTTTTCCATATTTGATGTTGACACCTGTCAAAAGTGGAAGTTACTGAACGAAAACGATGCAGCCAACAAATAGTGGTTGTGTGGTTGTTGGAGGTTTTTTCGATGTTACGAAATCATTTTATATGTCGTTTTTCTTTAGATGGCTTTTTGCTGTAGGTACAAGTTTATCTTTATAATTCACGCTAAATAAAACTTTAACATAATACTTCATATTTCTAAACGTAGAATACAATATGAGCCTTCCAAATTTTACTTTCCCGGAAAAAATTCCACTATTTTCAATTTTTCGGAAAATTACTCAACAGTAGGCAAATTTGCAGTCATTGAAAAGTAACTACCGCATTTGCTCTAAGATTTTTATTTAGTAATTAATTGTATATTTATAAGGCTTAAATAAAAATCTTAACGAAAACGCGCCAATTAAGTTTACATATTTGAAAACTTACATTAAGGCTTCAGGTCAAATATACATGCTCGGTCGACGTGCAGTAGGAATTCAGTTAAGGGTTTAAGGGCACCGAACTTGTAATACTTCAAGTGTTCTTGCCAAGCTAAACTTGCTTTAGATACTTGTTGGAAAAGAATAAGTATCTCACCTAATTATAGGTACCAAGCTATAAGTTGTGAATAGGAAAGTACAAATTTTAATTGAAATGAAAATTTTTGTTAATCTTAAAACAAGGATTATGAGTGATTTTAATTTTCAGTACGGTATTGGGTACCATCTCTATTACAAATCGTCGTATAGGTAATGAAATTCCTAAGAACGGTGTGTTATAGTAAATTGTGTATTAAGGGCGGTAAATAAGAAATTGTTAACAAGAGTTTGCTACAAGGCAGAAGCTGAAGCTTTTTTCTTGTATCGCTTCACTTCACAACATTTACGGATTTTGTAAATGTCAGGTTTTTTGTTTTTGATTTTAGACAGATTGCTAGTTATTATTTCACAGGCAATAACAACTTGAACTAAAATGTTATAAATGGCACAGATGTATGCAGTCACATTGTACTTATGAGATATAAAATTTAAAAAAATCCAAATTCTAAAAATAGTGCAGAATTTGGATTCACAAAATAAATGTAGTAAAGTTTATGTAGTTAAATTGCAAATGTTTAGTTTTTTTCTATTCTTACTTGAAGCTTATGCGAAATACATTCAGCATAACACTGTTTGCTTAATCTTGGCGTATAAGAGAAGTACCAACAGTGTAAATAAAATAAAAAATCTTTTACCGCCCTAGGACAGTGGGCATAATTTAGGACATTAGGTACTATCGAATTTGCCTGCATTTGTTATGACACTGTTTACGAGCAAGGGTGATGAAAAAGAGTTTTCAAGAGAGCGGCGATAGTTCAGTGGGAAAAGGGTTGTTTCTCAATTTAGGGGTTGATGACGGTTCGGTTCCAATTTAATGTCTAAATAGACATCTTTTTGTAAATGTTAAATGGCAATATTTCTCGGTAATGATAAGGTTCATTATCCAAGGGAAACATGCGAAGTCTCCAACATGCACAGTGCTAGTGCGGCGGACCTTTTCCTTAGAGGAGATCAGTGCCCAGAAGTAGGCCTTACACTAAGTTTACATAATTTACAACGAGAAATTTTGAAAGATTTGTTATGGGTTACTACACATATGAATAGAAATACAATCTTGTTACTTATGGTGGGCAGTACACAAAACGTTCGAATAGACAGACTTTTGAGACAAGATGTAATGTGTATTACTTAACTATTAAAGTATTTGAAACATCGCAAAATCTTAGGTGGTAAGTTATAGTAAGTAGTATTACAGAAACGTTCACTAATCGTGTAAAAATCGGAATTACACGACTACATGGTTTGTGAGTATTATTTGTTAATTTGTACTTTGGTAGATGTTGCTTTAGGAAAATGTTACTTTCGAGAAGAAAATTAGGGAGGTAGGCGCGAATCTCGCCAAATTTCGAAGCGATTGCAAAGCGGCTCCTCCTTGTCGCGCCATTGGCGATGGGCGGCGCAGCTCCGCCAATAGGGCCGCGTCGCGCCCCACTCATTTCTGTTCTCTGTTACAAAGGTTACGTTTTCCCTGATAGAGAAAATCGTTCCAGTTTTCTACAATTATGCTACCCAATATGTTATTTCTATTTCCAAATACACATAACGCGTGCGACTTTTATTAACACTCGTAACAGCTAACAGTTGGATATAGTTGATATTTGCGGCTACTCTATAATTGGACTCTCCAATAAGCAGTTTTTTTTTCCAAAAAGCAGATTTAAGTGTGACCACTGGCCATTGAAGTTTACCGTCTACACGGTGCTAGACTCTGGTAGAGTGGTCGCTGCGGTGCCGGTGGCTGTGCTCGAGTTCGAGTCATTAGTCAGTCGGAAGCCCGGCACTGAGACGCGTGACTCGCTGCGCGGCCCGCTACATGCGTCAACTGTGCGACACGAAACCACGGCCGCCCGCCCAGCGCGCGCCGCACGCGCATTTAAAAATAAAATTTTAAAACAAAACATTTACACGCTTTGTTTAAAAAAGGACTAATGTGATTTCTTTAGCGAAAACAAACTTGAACTTGAAAATTTAACTGTAAAGTGAATATTGACGTTAAAGTGATTTTCTTCGAGAATGCGTAAACACAATTCCAGATTTCAGAAAAAGCGGATCTAAAGACTGGAGCAGAGGAAGCTTCAGAGCTGAAATATTTTAAAAAGTGGGTGAGTAGTAGGATTAGCGGTTACACGTCTTAGGTAATAATTGAGCGATTAGGTGTAAACGAGCCCGTTAAAATGTTTTATGTGCTACTAAAGTGAGATTATGGCCTGTAAAAGTCGTTTTCGGCAAAACAAACCGTCTACAGGTTGTTCAACTAATGGAAATTTTTAATAGAAATGTAATTAAATAAGTTAATTTTTTATTTAAGCTGGTCGTGAAATTTATAACTTACCATTCTAAAAATATTATAAGTAGGTAACTAGAAACACCTATTAAAACAGAAATAATTTTTCAATAGGTGTGCACTTTAATTACTTTAGTAGACAATTATTTGTTTCTTGTGGCTTTCTTAATATTTTAACAGGTCTCTCGTAACCGTAACATTAATAAATAAAAAGTAGGTGCTATTTACAAACACATAATAACTTAATAAAAATAATCACAAGTTGGATGATTAATAAAAAATTTGATTTGCGGTTATTTGGGCTTGATTCCGCTGTGACTTAACATTAGGCCTTCTTTCCGAACAGCTTCATAACGTGATGGCAGTCGGTCGCCGGCTACCTGAAAGTTCGCGCAGCAGTGCTGGAATGGAAATTGCCGGAAGGAAAAATGACTACGGGACGCACAGATACAACGGTAATTTGACTGGAGTCCAACAGGACTAAAAATACATCTTCATATTCAATCTTTTTAGAGAACATGTCGTGAGGCTACAATTCATCAATTCGTCATTTGTAATCGGAACTTAATCGTGTATAAAACATATTTAATTATCTCGACGTTTCGGACGTGTTGCAACGTCCATGGTCTCGATTAGGACCAAACCACTGGATTGAGCTTTATAATCCCAAGATTCTTCCTATAGAACGTCATTACTACAGCACAGTTGTACGTGAAGCTGTTGAAATGAAAAACATCGTAATTTTAACAAAAAAGATGATTTTAAGCTGCCATCGTCGTGGGATCCACTCATAACTAAAATGACATCAAGATATGACTGACAACAAATGACTTCAATACTTGTATTGCCCAACAAGTCGCCGAATATCGTGAGCAATGTGTGTCGGTTTAGTAACAAGCCTAGTGCACACCATAATGAAGACCAAGTGCCGGTAGTTAGAAAAACTCACACGGCTAGAAGATGCTGACACACGCCTGTTTAGTCCCTTCGAGACCATGAACGTTGCGCTACGTCCGGAACGTCAAGGTACATAATAAAGTATGTTTCATATACGATTATCTAAGTCTCGATTTAAAATGAAATAATATGTGAAAATCGTGAAAGTTTCAATCAATGTACAATTCATCGAAAAAAATCACTTATTGGTGATCAAACAGATTGTATCGACATCGATAATCGACTGAGGGAAACAACTGCGTTGCAAGGTGCGTTTTTATTGTCTGCAGTGGCTGGGAGCGCAGATGGTGCGAGCCTCGATGGAGGCTGCGACGAGGACGTCACCCAGCTGACCACTCCAGACCTTCATTCAGAAACTTTCGACATGAACGATCTGTCCTCAAACGCTTATGCAGTGGATGCGCGAAGAATGCAGTTATACTCACATGTCCATCCTACGGTGAGTCAGCCTTTGTTCTATTTTTTTTCCTTTGTACTTTATGTAAGTCTTCGTGTAAATTGGCCGAGATGGAAAATTCTCTGTATCCAAGTGCAGATTAGGCGATGAATACAGCAAGTTTTAGTTTTACAATGGTAATATTCTAGGTATTTTTCCTAGAGCAATGATTCTATGTAGGCGTTTCTTAGCGACAAAATGTGATAATTCTGAAAAGAAATCGGTTCGATATTTTCTATTTTAGTTCTTCAAGATTTCTCCATGATCGTTTTTATAATTAAAATTACGGCAGGTGAATAAAGAGTGAAAATGTTATTTACTTAATGTACGTTGGATGTTGCTGTAGATATTAGTAAAGTAAGAGTACCAAAACTTTAGGGAGTGGTCCTTCCTACCCATTGTACTTTTGTTATAATAACATAATAAGAAAATTTATTATAATGTACAAATAGTTTTATAATTATTTTCTTATTTTATTCTTAGAAATTGAAACAAAATTATCTTATCTTATATTCTATACAAAGTTAATTTTTTGGTGATACAAAAGTTACAAGATGTTTGTTGTAGCAATAAATAGTTACCAAGATTAAAACTAAATCGGTTTTTTTAAACTCGAGTTGATGGCACAACATTGCATTGTATCCGATCTTTCATTTAGGAAATGTCTGTCGGGATCAGAATTGAACCTCGTTTAGGGAAATTGTTTTGCTTTTTCTTTGCGGAGCGTTAATGTTTGTATGGGTAAATTGGTTAGTTAGCTCATTCACCTTAAACTTAGTGAGAGTTCTTTTCAATGTAACTAATTATACTCGATATTGTTAGTTTTAAAACCATAATATAAGTAGCTCGATTTTGACCCTCAAAATTTGCTTACTTTGCAAGAGACGCGATACGCCTGTGACATTAACCATTGTAACATGCCAGAGATTTTATGGTTTGTGATCGAGTTTACCAATATTTGTCGCAAAAACACACAGTGGAGAATTAACAATATAATGCGGGTCTTGCTAATTATTTTCGAATGAAATCCTTAATAAAGTAAAGCAATGAAAATTGCTTCAAAATATTTCCTGTGTTAACCCTAAACACAACGTTGGGTCCACGTTATAACTATTTGGTCTGAAGGGGTACTAAACTTACTAAACTTCAAGTAAACCATTGCCTGCAAAACTTTCGACACAAATTAAAAATCATATGCCTATCGAATAAAATATGGCCAAAGAGCATTAAATATAAACAATAAGACCGTAAACAATAAAAATATGAAGTTGAAACGTTGAAATGTGGTGCAATGTGCGAAAAATAAGAATAATTTAAAGGTGTTGGAGTTGGGTTTCTATAGCAAGTGCCCATTCGACTCGCTGGGCAACGCGGGTGCCAGTTCACGTGAGAGCAAATTTATTTCCTCCCGCTGATTTACGCCTGGTATCGTAAAATAAGTGAACTTCTTTGTACGGCTTTAAAAACTATTTTTGACCCTCTGATTGCTCTGTATAGGTTTTAAATGAAAACCGTAGAATGATATTGATAAAAAAAAGTTTAATAATCAAGTGGGAAAAATAACAAGGAAGCCTAATTAAGAGACGTTTATTCATAGAATATGTTGAACCGTTGCGCAGTTTATTTGTAAATAAATAATGTTTTCTTGCGTGAAAAATTAATTACTATCGTAATAGCCAGTGGCCATCATGCATGACGTTTGTCCATAAGGCTATAACATACTATCAAGCTGTGCTCTCTTATCATCTTCGTCACTATTTGTTACATCACCGACCTTGTTTATTTGACTTCTTCTTGCCTGCGATTATATTACATCTTGGAAATATACGAGTACGAAACCTTAAATTTTACTAAGTGTATTAATATTAGCGCCTTCTTCGACCTAATAATAAAAGAAATGCTAAAAGAAAATAATAATTATTATATGGACCTCTGCAGCAATATTTTTCTTACAGCACCATGAAAGTATTGTGTATAATGTATGTAATTAAACAACATCATATTTGATTTCCTTATTTATATGACTTACCCACAGAGTAAATGTATACAATTTGATTTTGAGTTTTTCGTGGTTATTTACTGAATGATTATCTATAATTACAGGTTTGTTACCGAGGTTTGTTTTTTTATTTTTCTCATATTTCGGAACAGTTACACGCGGCATGTTCACGGGTTGACTGATTTATTTATTCAACCCGTGATAATGGAGCGTGTAAACTTTGCGAAATATCTCGAAAAGCTTTGACTCTCATTTATAGTGTCTAAATCATATATTATGTGCATGCTTGATCGCAGGAAAGCATATAGTTCACCACACCATAGCACGATATTCAAACATAAATATTTTCGATGCTATTATTTAAATATAATATGATATATTCATGAAAATTAAAGTAGGTAAATCTCGGAATCATGAGTGTTATCATGCGACCCTGACACAAGTTCATCGCGAAGTGAACAACAGATTGTCAATAAGATACGTTATTTAGTAGGCATTTAAAAAAAATATTTTAACGATTATCATTTTAGTTTTTATTTCGCTATAAGGATTTTTTCAGTAATACTATGATTTTTTGTGATGTAAATAAAGAAAACTGAGTATTTAAGATATTTCTACTCTTAAAACTAAAACGTTTAAATTTTATATTATATATATATATATATTTTTTTTTAAAGTCCTTTCAACAAAATATAAGATATAGAAGTATTACCGTGTCATGTCGCGAAATATTCGAGCGTGAATTATACATTTTATGGAAAACAATCGTTTGCAAAAGCCATCAAAGCAAAACGTTTCATCAATGAAACTTGAACGACATTCTTTGTTCTGAGAATGTCCATCAAGGCCCTAAGATTGATAAAATATTGCTGGCAGTGGAGTACTTTTCACAAGTCGTGCTTCAGTTGCATAATGGGCGCATGCGTTGGACGATGACGTCCGTCCAGCTGCCTGTAGTCGGCACGCGGCGGCGCGAATGACTCCGTTGTAATTCGACCGGGGCGCTGTGACAAATGTGAAAAGTATTGCGATTTTTAAGTGCGCCTGCGACCCCGCTGCCGGTCGTACTCGCCTCTACGCTGTCGAACTCACGTCAAATAAGCGAATAAAACTATAACTGCGATGTTTACTTGCTGTTGATCAGCCTAAAATTTATTTAAAACTGTCGTATATACAACATGTTCCCTTTACACACTGTTATACTGGTTGCAATCCTACGATTTAGTTTTTTATTTACTTACAGGTACTTCACTAAGTACTTGGAGCCTCACTCACATAATACCAATGTCGCAACATTTGACCTCAATCAAAATTAAATGTAATGTAAATCAATAAGTAAATCATGCCAATGTTAACTGTGACGAAACACAAAGATTGTTCGAGTTAGGTACGTGACGAGTAGATAGAAACCCTTAGGTCTGCAAGTTATAAAGAAATTATATTCCTTAGTAATGAAACTGCATATGTTACTCGTAAGCAAGTTTTCATATCTATTAGATTCTTCTTCTACTGCCCCAATATATTGGCATTGACCTTTTTAAAGTTCTGCTGATTTATCAAAAAATATACCGGATACATTTTTTATACATGACTTATTCGCAAATCTATATTTATGTCTAGGTATAATACTTATTAAAAGCGAAGCACTCGTACCTACCTAATCACCTACCTACCTACCTAATCACCCACCTTACTTAATTAAAATATTAAAATTGAGATGTGAAGCCTTTTGAAAAACCTTTTCTACATAAATAGGTCGGTATATGTGTTTTTGGTAGGGTTATTAAAACAATCGTTGTATTTTTACACTCGTCACCTGCGCAGTCGCCATTAAATTAAGCCTTTTATTTTGCTTTCGTAAAACTGAGCGTCTGTCAAGGCGCTAATAATTCTTAGTTTGACGAACTTGACCTATTTAAAAGGTTTAATAAACGCATTTATTACTTATGAATTAAAAAATTAAGCAGAATGTAATGAAGAATTCAGCATGTTTCTTTCGTTATTTTGGTAGAGTTATATAAGTAAGGTATTCAAAACAAATCTTTAATTTAATAAATACCGTCATGGAAAATCTGAGAAATACTACCTTGCAAAATTTAATACAGGTACAGGGCAAGCGCACGTGTTATATGTACCTAGATATAGGTAGCCACTCCGCATTTGTGCAACGTTCATAAAGTGCTCGTGGGTGGCCCTCTAGTACTTTTTTACATGTGTACACTTAAACTCGAGCGTCAACTTCCATTTGAGACCTACTCCAACTAAAAATCGATCTTAAAACAAGGTTAGGAAAGGGCTAAATAAGCAGACACATTGAAAAAGTAGCTTATCGGAAATATTGTTAAGTTACACAGCTAATTCGGTCGAGTACAACGCACAATAGGCTTATTTCACGAGCCGATGGACTTTGTTGCATTTTTATTATTTGATTTCAGTTGTATCCAACGTTCATAACAGATAGAATAGGACCCTAAGACGTATTACTGCAATTATCAATACCACCACCGCAACATGGAAAAATAAACTAATCACAAGCCAAAACAAAACGTTAATGGATAGCATATACACTGCAAAATAGTCTTTATGAGATGATAAAGAAAATCTCTGTGATTAAAGTCTCCTTTGGCGGTAAAAGTCAACATAAAAAACAAACAAGTAATTTGTCCTTTGACATTTCGCTTCTAGAAAAATGACAAAGAACAATAGTGAAAAAGAAATCGTCGATTGTATTGATGGAGCTTAGACGCTTTAAAAAAGAAGAATGGTGAAAAACAAGAAATATGAAAATTATTTGCATATTGATGACGATGATTTGCGTATTTAAATAATAGTTATTTGGTTGGAAAGTGGTTCAGTAGTGCCGCTGTCGTGTCTCGTGTCCGAGAATTTTTTAGGAATTAACACTATTTGGTGTTACATAAATAGTGATTTATCTGCAAATCGATGTTCAGCGTTTGGTAGTCTTTTTTAAACTTAAATCCGGTGTCGCACTTGTTATAAATTA